TTGAATTTTGCGAACTCCTCTTTAAAGTAGTGTTCGCTTCTCGCACGGCCAGAATTTTCACCCAAGTGATTTGAATTCTTTTCACAGTCTGTTTAACATTCTTGAATTGTTGGCCGGTAAAGGCGCTTTTCGATTGAGTATTGTAAAATCAGAACGAAAGTAATCGCAACAGCCCATCAGAAGAAAGGAAAACACCTTGAAGAGGCAATGAGAACTCAAAATACAAACAAACTGCCTAAAGCGCGGTAAAACGATAGCGATGCTGTTAGGAGAAATTAAGTATAAGTCACTCGTTGGGGGTGGAGATATTTCATTATGAAATCGGTGGAGATAAAGGGTTGTTTTACTCTACAGAACTGTAGATGACTGAGCTACGATAGCCTCTGCATTGTTGAGATAATAATACTCTGCTGGTTTTTGCGATCACAGATAAAGAAACTGTTTTCTTAATTTTAAACTACGAGCAGCCCCTCGTTTTCGGCGAAGTCTGTTGCGCGAGTTAAAAAGAACTCAGGTCTCTCCGCGGCGTGCTACCACAATGTCAACATTTTTTTTTTCACTGAGGTTTTTCGACTAGCACGACGGACGTAACTAAAAAGGCGGGACTGCTCGGAGTCTTCTCACTTTGGGAAAGAGAGGTTTCCCAAGTTTTTTTGTATCATTTTCATAATCAGTAGGAGCTTTTGTCATCAGATATTTCGTCAAGATTTTAGAAAACTAAAATGTAACTTAAAAATATATTTCTTTCAATTAATTTCTCCGAATTCTGGTTGTTTAACGCTATGACGTTATCCGCTGGACAAAATCTCTCCGCCGGATTGTGTTGTGCGGGAGGTCGAGGGCTCGTGCCCCGGCCGGACCAATACTCATGGTCTTAAAATAACTGAGGAGAATTTGCTACCTTTCTATAATATCAAGAAATGGATAGATATTCTAGTCTTCTCGGATAAGGACGAATAAACCGTAAGCCCCGTCTCCTGCAGGGTTAGGGGAAGGAGAC